TAATGGTAATTTATTTTTTGAGTCTTTCTTCCCGATTACTTTAATATTGTTGATTTTTTGAAAATTTTTTGAATAACTTTTTTTATGAGTTAATTCTTCTAGCAACTTGCGCTGCCGGTAAGTTAAATCTTGACCATGTATCTCTTGTAGCTTATTTAATGCAAATATAGACCTTACGGATTGTAGAATTTGTAATTCAGCAGAGTTCGAGCTTTTTACTAATTTCTTCAAAATCTGGTGGAAATTTTCATAGCAGAACGCACTATGAGTCCACAGTGGTCCCCAGTTCTGAACACTTTCCGCTAAATGAGTTAAAAGATGAACATTGAATGAAACATGTTCAAGTCCATAGAGTAATTCAACGTCTTTAACAAATTTGAAGATAAATTGCTGTGCATAAAATACTTCAGCTTCTAGGACGCATGTCTTAAGAAGTATCGAAGCTGCTTCCACTAATAAGCTCCAGTGCAATAAATATTTATGTGGTAAATATGGTTTCAAACTTGGTAAGCTGTAGAAGAGGAGCCATACAACTAACTCATGAGCTTTTAAATGTGCTCTGTCTGAAATTTTTCTCGGTGTTCTGGAAACATCTAATGATGGTTTGATTGACATAATAAATGCATCAATATCTTTAATTTTACTACCAAGATAAAACGGTTTATCATGGTATTCCGAATTAAACCACAGCTTTAAAAATTGACGACAAACACCAAGTGGAATGCAATGCATCCAATCAACATCTAAATTTTTTATGATATCGAAATCTGGTATATCAATTAATGTTGACCGTTGTTTTATTCCTTTTTCTGATGTCTCTGCATGCTCTAAGGTTTCTTGGTGAGACCGCAGCCCTTCTCCAAATGCATTGCCCTCTTCGTCAATTGGAAAAACTCGAACATGTCCATCACCTTTAGCAGTCTCCTCTCCGGGATGCTTGCACAATCCGCAACCGTAAGCTCCTCGAAATGATTTTGAGCATCTTAAATTAGGACGCTCTACTGAATCACATACACCGTTCAGAATTTTAAATTTTTTGTGATATTTCATTCCATTGTATGTATAAGATATTCCTTGATTTGCTAATACCTTAGCTTCTTCGACAAACGGCTTTAAATATTCGTTCATCACTGGTTTTCCTGTATCCAAATAAATACTCACTAGCATTATATGTAGCTTTCTCAAGCTAGGATCAAGTTCGTTAATTGTACATAAAATTGGAGTAATTGAGGTTTGCGAGCTCTTGAACAACGGCGTTCCATCTACGCTGAAGTTCAACGATAACAAGTCTTCACTTGACATGTGACGTTTATACAAATTTCCATCCATTATGTCTTCAAAGGCATAAGAACACTTCTTTTGACGATTAATTGAATGTAACAACTTCTCATGGTGTTGAATACAAAATTCAATAAGTTGCTGAGCTAAAGACATATAAAAAAATACATTTCCAGATTGTTTATTTTCTTTCAATACTACATCAATTCCGCACTTGTTGCAATGTAAAGTTGAATTATCTTCTATAGGATTTATCTCAAACCCTATGTATGATTTACAAGCAGAACATAAATGATGCACTTGAAATGGGAAAGAATATGAATCAATAATTTGCTTATAGTGATGAAATGATGTATAACGTGAAGGTGTATCGGTTAGAGCATTAATCAAGTTCGTCAAATATTTGATGACATCGTTGTCTAAATTTTTCCTAATTTTAACTGCAAGAATAAGTAGAGTTCTAACAATAACATTTCTTGGATACTTCGTGGTCATTTGAATTTGAGAGGCTGCTTCAACTGGAAAAGTACTATTAATAATGCATGGTTGTGAGATAGCATTATGTTCTGCCTGATCAGGACCATCTGCATCATTAGAGTCTTCACTTTCTTCACTTTGGTCAGATTCATCAGATTCATCAGATTCATCAGATTCCTCTGAGCTTCCATTAGATATGAAACATTCGGGGTAGTCTTCGTCTGAATCATACATCTATAAGAAAAGTACAATAATTATGAAAATATTTAAAAATATAACAAATAAATGCAATTATGATGATTAAATATAAAATTCAATACAAAAATTTCTCGATTTATCAGTTGAGAATCACTTGATTGACTTGTCTCGTTTGAATAAGCATTCCAAGTAGTTGACGGTAACTCCGCATCCCGGTTAGTATATGATTTTTTAATCGCAGGCTCAAGATTTGACTATTCATATGAAAAAATAAAAATCATTTATTATAAAATTTCATTCCCTCATGAAAAAAAAAAATATTAAAAAAAACATATGTCGAAATACATAAAAAATATATTTTATATAACCATGCTGAAAATGATGAGTTACTTTATCTAATTACTGAACTATATAAAGCAACAGGTAACTTTCTTTGTATATACTATCACTGTAACTTTAGAAATAAATATAATAACGTAAAAGTCCCAGTACCTGCTTAGGGATCATTACCTGCTGAGGGACCAGTACCTGCTTACTCCATGAATTCAAAAGTATAGATATACAAATACATGGTGAACAGGTACTGATCCCTAAGCAGGTACTGGGGCTCTTACCTTACACTTGATTTATTATATTTTTAGGATTGATCCAGAAAATTAGAATCGTCTACGAATTGATGGCAAAGTTATGAACTTTTACTCGCCTTACTTCTGAAAGACGTATCGACGTATCGAATTCAATAAAATAGTCAACACTTGCTATAAAAATGAATTTTCGAATAATTATTTATTTTATTGTTTCAGTCATTCGTCAGTAGCGTCATCAAAGTTGGCCAAGGAATGTCATTCGTAATAATTTGCTGTATTTCCGCGCGATCACGTGCTGATGTCTATGCAGCAGTTAAAAACGAAGTGCTGTTTTGATCGTCCCGCTTTAAATCAAATTGTCAATTGCGACTAAAATAGCAATACAAATAAATTGCAAAATTTGTAGCGTGCCTTGAAGTATTGATTTTGGAATGGCAGGACTAATGGTAGTTGGATTCGATGTCTGTCACGATCCTAATCAGTGTGGAACTGATGATTTTGGTAAATTATTTTATCAATTTATGAAATTTTTTATTTGTTACTACACCAATTAAAATATCAAAACAATAAATCAACATGGTTTTAAGTTTTAGGCGCTATGATTGCATCACTTGATCGAGGAATGACCAGATACTTTTTATTACTACTAGTGGTAAGTATATAAATTAATTAATTCAACGTTTCTGTTATCGCAGTACTTACCAACACAATAAATTAATAAATTTTTAAGTTTGTTTTTTTTTTTTTTTTTTTATTTTAATATTTAATTTACAAATTTTAAAGATTTGATAAATGATCTTTTTTTTATCTTCCCCGACAGTTTATTTATTTTTGACGTATGAAATTTTTAATAACATTAATTAATTATAATATTCAAATATTATTAAGAGAAAATTAATTAGGTCAAAGTGTATTAAATTTTATAAATTATATAAAATCTCATTTTTTATAAAAATTACTATAAACATTAAATACTATAAATATTTAAAAAAAAAAAATTCGGTAGCGTTCGAAAAAATTTTACCAAATTAAAAAATTTTAATACTATTAGATTAGATCGATTTTAATAAATCTCAAAGATAAAAAATATTTTATTCATTTATTTCTCAGACTAATTATTTTATTATCATCGATTGGTAACTATTTAAAATATAATAATATTTGTATATTTATTTGTTTATTAACAGTGTTTTCATTAATCATTATAATTATTATCATTAATATTGTCGTCTTATACTTTTTTTTCTGTTTTAGACAATCGAGAATAGAAGAAAGAAAGTAATACCTCTCGACTTCCGAAAGCATTTTTTTTTTTTAATTTTACTTTTGAGATTTATTTTTTAAATTAATTTTAAATAATTAATCAAAATAAAAAAAAAATTCTTTAGTCATCGAATTGTAAAAAAACTAAAAAGTAGAATTTTAATTAAAAAAAAAAAAAGAAATTATGACAAATTGTCGGTAAAATGGTTGTTATAAAAAAATTTGGATTAATTCCAAGTGTTCTATATATAAATTTAAAAATTTAAGATGTAATTATTGAGTTATACTGTGATCATATTATAATATAAAAAAATAATAATTATTAAATAGTTAAAGTAAAAAAAATGAATATTTAATAAAAATAGAAAGGTATATATATCAACCAAGAATAAAATTTTTATACTTACCTCGACATGGTGGTTTAAATAATACTAATTATGTAAATATCAGACGTTAAATATTATTTAAGTGGCCAAATGGATTAATTGTAAAAAAATAAACTTTTTTCTGTAAATCTATAAAAAATTTAGCAAAGCATTAATGTGATCATATATATTGTGTACAAAGAATAATTATTTATTATTAATCTAAGCAATATGTAAATACTTGAATTTATAATTTATAAGTAGCTTAAAATATTTATCTGCATGCTGTATATATTAATTATAAATCTCTGTACAGTTTTTCTTTTAATTGTATAGTAGATCTCTTTTTAAAAAAATTAATCTACAAGCTTGAGGAATTGCTTATAAATTATTAATTATTAACAGAGTAGAATTGTCTACTGATAGTAAATTTAAATAAGAGAGCATCCGAATTATGTAGTGCAATTATTTATAATAATTAGAGTATAAGATTTTTATTAAATTAATTGTAAATTTTTTTTTCAAGAATTTTAATTTTAATTTTAATGCAAGGCAAAAAAATATTACTGAGCCCAATATTTTTTTGACTGGCTAAATATTATTTTAAATTAAAATTTTTTTGATTAAATTTTAAATTTACAAATTTAGGAAAATTATTTAAATATTTTTATCTTAAAGAATAGAAGTAATTTTTTTTTATAATTTTGTTAAAAATGCAATGCAAAACAATGTCAAAATAATGTAAAAAAAATAATTAAGGTGTAAAATAAAAATAAATGTAACTTAAAAAAAAAAAATTAATTTTTTTTTACAACTTGGAATAACTACTAAATTTTCATAATAAATGACATTATTTTATTTCTATTGTTATAAATATATCTTTAAATATTTATATGTACTAATGAATTTATGAAATAAAATGGAAAAAGTTTTTTTAAAGAAAATTACTTGTTAAAAATAACTTATCAGTAGAGACGCTAATTAATATCAGTGATAATATATTTTAAGAGAAATAAACAAGTTAGATCTTCCAGAATTTACTACGGTCGCGAATGCCTTTTGACTTGGGGGGGGGGGGCTTTTTTTTCAAGTCTGTTGAAATAGACATAGCTTCTCGGGTAGATTCACTTCCAGCAGCAGAACTGCCTCCTGCTACGTCTGCTTCTTGGACACCTCCTCCTCCAGCTTGGGCCAGCAAGGATTTTTTAATATTTTTAAAATTACATTGTTAACTCTTTTAACGTTAACGCTGGGAAAGCATGCTGCTCCAGTTGTTCAAGCTCTGCTTTAGAGCTCGCTAATTTTTCGGAATTTTGTTTTTGGACTTCAGTTGGGACTTTTGTGCAATAATCATCAGCAGCCATAGCTAGTTCCAATTTTTCAATTATCGCTTTGAGTTGTTGTTCTTTTTTTTTTTGCTTTCTTACTTCCTGTGTTGTATCGACAATTTCGCTGATCAACAAGTGAACCTTGAGCTGGTCATTTATTGAAATTATGGTATATCCTGACTGAGGCGCTTCTGATATCACAGTAGAGTAAGCTAGGGTCTCAATAAATTGCTTGTAAGGCTTCAACTTGGTTGTCATAACAAAGTCGCATACAATGTACACTTTTGTTTTTATTTTATTTGGAATTTGGTACTCAGCGCGCTCAGATCTAATCTGTTTTACAATTTTGTGGGCGTAATCGACGTCTTTCTCTAACTCTTCATTTCTCCATGAACACTATAATTTTAAAAAATTTTTAGCTTTGATATTTTAATTCTACTTCTGTTAATATTTAATTTTCAAGTTAATTTAAAATTTTACCTCTATTGTTGTTGGATACGGACTCACACATATACTTGGATAGTTTAATTTAACGCGAGGTAGTCGTTGATACAGTTCTTCAGTAATAAATGGCATAAATGGACTCAACAATCTCAATCCAACGTCTAGTGTTTTAAACAATACACGTTTTGCGGATATTATTTGCTCGGGTGTTCCACTATGGAATACTGGTTTCAAATATTCCTGTAAAATTTATATTAATTCATTAATGAATGAAAAATTTTTATTAGATTAAAAAATGACTTAATAATAATTTTTATACTTTAAATCCACAATATAGTTTCAAAATTATTATTAAAAAATAACTCGTTAATTTCTCTTCGTTTAATATATAAATTAAATTATCAAAATTACAAAGAATTAATTATAAATTTTACGTCTTGCTATGAAATTGAATAAATTAGTGAACAAAAAGAAATTTATTAGTCTTTTTTTTTTTATAGATTAAAAGATAAACAAAATAAAATATCAATATCTTACCAAATAAACATCACAGAGATCATACAGCCATAAATTATAACACGCGGTTGTAGCTCCGTTGAAATCATACTCTGCAAGACCTTCATCGCATACTTTTGCTGCGTAACTCACTCTCGAGAGCATCCACATATCAATGTTTGACTCATTACCAGTGAGCTGTAATAAACCAATCGATTAATTACTTATTTTACAAATAGTTATTTTAAAAAAATCAAAAACAATTAAATTAAAATTTAACAAACAAACTAAAACGGTGTTCTACTGTTACAAAGGGAAAAAATAATATTATATTAAATGTGGAAAAAAAAGTTAAGTAGAAAGGTAGGATACGCGCACCTGAAATTCACCCAGAGAATTCGAGGATCTAGATGCACACCTCGACAATATGTCCGCGTGATCATTACGAAAGTTTGACTGTTCTGAGCTGGTGTAACTTACAATATGTTTGTACCATCTTTTTAAATGCAACCATTTTTTAAACTCAATATTACAGTTATTGTTATTATTACTAATTATCCTTGATATTTTAACATCCGCCTGTGAAGGCGTATAGCCATCCAAGTATGAGTACTCTGACAAATAATTATCAACAGCCTCTTGTATACAATTTTCGTTTAGCAATACTTTATACCAGTCTTCATCAAATTCTTCTATTTTCTATTACAACAATCTTATTGCTTAACAATTATTAATTATTTTAATTTTAAAAACAATACAAAAAATAGCATCAAAATATTTTCAAAATTATATTAATTTATAATTTTATGCTACCTATTTATTATTCCGGTTTTTTTTTTTTTTTTTTTTTTTTTTTTTTGCATTGTCATCTATAAAAAATTATCAAGTTTAAATAAATTACCTCGTTATTACCGTCATATTTGAAATCTCCCAAGTACATAAGAGCAAATCTAGTGGCATTCCATAATTTATTACAGAAAAATCTGTACCCTTGAACTCTCAGAATATCCAAATTGATATCTCGACCCTGAGAAGTGTAAGCACAGAGCGCAAATCTTAATGCATCGGTACCACACTCAGGTATACCTTGTGGATAATCTCTCTTTTGACCTTCAATTGCATGTTTCAACTCTTTTTGATCCAAATTTGACTCTTTGAGCTGCTGATGAAGTTCTTCCAATGTGATTCCATTTATAACATCCATCGGATCGATAACATTTCCCAAAGACTTGCTCATTTTTCTTCCATGAGCGTCTCTTACCATAGCATGAAGATAGACCTCCTTAAATGGAATCTTTCCCATGAGTTTTCTACCAAAGAAGACCATTCTTGCGACCCAAAAGAACAAAATATCATGTCCAGTTTCTAATAAGCTTCCCGGATAAAATTCTTTTAATTCAGGAGTTTCTTCCGGCCATCCAAACACCGAGAATGGAAACAACGCTGACGAGAACCAAGTGTCCAGTACATCTGGATCTTGTTCCAGAATTATTTTACTGATATCAACTTGAAACTTTTCCACCGCCTTGCGTTTAGCTTCTTCTTCATTGCGTCCACTAACCCAAAGGTCATCATCGTTGTCAATTTTGGGTTTAAAATTATCATCAGTAAATTTTACCAAGTATGCAGGAATCCTATGTCCCCACCAAAGTTGTCTCGAGATGCACCAATCACGAATCCCCTCCATCCAATGGTACCAAGTTTTTTTGTGTTGCTCTGGAATAATCTTCATCTCACCAGTTTTAACTATTTCAATAGCATCAAGTGCCATTTCGTCGGACTTAATATACCACTGAGGCTTTATCATTGGCTCAACGACATCCTTGGACCTACTACATATTGGTACGATCATAGGATTATCCTTAATTTCCTCTAAAAGCCCTAGAGTTTCAAGTTCTTTGAGCACGGCTTTTCGCGCATCAAATCGCTTCATTCCGTTAAACTTTCCGCCATTAATAATATTACCTTGGTCATCAAAAATTGTAATAAAAGGCAATTTATGCCTCTTGCCAACTTCATAATCATTATGGTCGTGAGTCGGTGTTATTTTAACCGCACCAGTACCAAATTCCATATCTACAAACTCATCAGCTATGATGGGAAGTAACCGATCACAAAATGGATGGTTTACATGCTTGCCAATCAAATTAGAATAACGAGAATCTTTCGGATGAACTGCTACCGCAGAGTCGCCAAGCATCGTCTCAATTCGAGTAGTTGCTACGACAATACGTTCCTTGGTATCGGTAACTTGATACGCAAAGTGCACCAAAACACCAAACTCTACCTTATCCTTATACCCGGGGATAGAAAGCAAAGTTTTTCCAGTCAATTCTGTTTTTTCGACTTCTATATCAGAAATTGCACTCTTAAGAGTACAAGACCAATTAACCAACCGGTTACTCCTATAAATGACCTTTTCGTCGTGTAAACGAACAAATGCTTCGGTTACGGCACGACAGAGTTTTGGATCCATGGTGAAACACGCACGATCCCAGTCCATTGAACCACCTAGCTTCTTCATCTGCTCGTAAATCCGGTCACCTTTTTCATTCTTCCACTCCCAAATTTTTTCTACAAATTTCTTACGACCTAGGTCGTGTCGAGTTTTTTGCTCTTCGCGCCAGAGCTTTTTTTCCACCACCACCTGCGTTGCAATTCCTGCGTGATCACAACCTGGATTCCAAAGAGTTGTTCTACCTTTCATCCGATGCCTATTATCACAATAAATTTATTATTATTACTTAAAAAATTAGATGATTGATAATTTTATTTTATAAAAGTCATTTACATTACTTACCAACGAGTAATGGAATCTTCAACAGCATTAGTTAACGCGTGACCCAAGTGCAAATATCCAGTAACATTTGGAGGTGGAATTACCATAATAAATTTTCCATTGGGATTAGGTTCAAGGATCGATTTTCGGCCGTACTCTGGCTTGAAAAATCCTTCCTTTTCCCACCAAGAGTACCACGCAGCTTCTACGAATTTTGGGCTGTAAGCGTCTGGCATTGCTAATTTTACATCTTTTTTTTCACCTTTAGGTGTATTGGTTGTATAGACTGCTGATTGTTTTGGATCTTTCTTCTTTTCATTTTTCTTAAAATTATAGAAAATTCTTTTATTATTAATTGTTTTTTACCATCTCATCTGTATCATTAAAAATAAATTATGTTATGTAAGATTTAAATTTTATGCAAAGCATATCTTTATTTTTTTTTTTTTTTTTTTTTTGTATGTATTAATAATTATTATTAGTGCATAAAATAAGCAGCATCAGACACCTGATAATTTTTCGTTTGTTATTAATAGCTGTTAATGATCAATCATTGGTTGTTGAAATATCAAATTTAATAGCACTAAAGTATTTTTATATTTTGATTATGAATTATTTTGTATTTATTTTATAAAAACAAGTTACTGATTACTATAAAAAATTCTAAATAGATGATGAAATATTTCACAATATTTTAAATTTTAAATGCAACAATTAAACTAACGTCAAAAATAAATGGAAAAAAAAAAAAAAAAAAAAAAAAAAAAATTTTTGATAAATTGAATAAACAAATCAGCTCGTTTTAATCGTGTTGAAAGAAACCAGATTTAAAAACAACAATAAAAAAAAAAAAAAAACATATGGAATGTCATAAACATGAACCTTTAAGATCAACAGCAATTACATCAACTAAAAGTGCTATAGTGATAACAATAATTACCTCAGGTTTTTCTTTGCTCTTTGCAACTGAGGGGAGAGTTTCTTTTTTTTCTTGTTTCTGTTTGAATTTTTCTAATTTTGCCAATTTCTTGGCCTCTTTCTCCAACTGCTTCGCGGATTTCGGTTGAGCGTCAGCATTTGCCGCTTCACTTGTTCCCTCAACCATTCTTTAATTTGTATTTTATAAATCTGAAATTTAAAATGTTTGTTAGTAATTGTTTGAAATATTGCCAGGTTTACATCAATTAAATGTTAGAAATAAGAAATGACAAATAAAATAAAATTCTAACCAAGAAAGTACTGATAAATTATGATGGTTATGGTTATAGGTTATTATTATAAACTTCACATATGCTCACAGTCTTCTAAATCAAATGTGTCTAATCGTCTATACTATTATCGTGCACATATCTCATCTCGTGAGCGTGTCGATCTATTATCTATTATAACGGAGAATATTGATGGTAATAATCTAGGAATTTTTATTAGCAGTCGCCGGTAAGCCAATTTAATTTAAAAAAAAAATATATATTTTTTAATGTTTTTTTTTAATTTATAACATTAACAATTAAAAAAAAATTATTATTCTTTAATTAACTACTGGTTTGAGAAAAAAAAAATTTGATTATTAAATTAATAAATTTTTAATTAAAAATAATTATGACACTTATTAATAATATACTTAATATTGGTTCATCATAATGATAAAAGCAAAAAGGCGATATTTAAAACACATCGATTTATTAAATTGATCGTATATAACATTTCATACATTTAAATATAAATTTATTATTATTTTGAGAATAATAATTAGTGTTTGTAATATGTATAGCTGTGTGTAAATAATATTTTTAGTGTGTGCCATAAGTGTGTTTGTGACCATAGAGATAATAAAAATATTACCGCAGACATGATACAATATATGATTAATTACAATAATAATTTAATTTATTTATTATTTTATTAATTATTTAAGGTCAATAAATAAGTGACATTTAATATTAATAATAAAATTATACTGTCATTTCTGTGGATTTTATCTCAATAATTTTTAGCCATCTTTTACATAATTTAAGTAAATTTCCAAAATGAAAAAAAAATATATTTTATTATATAATTTAAAGCTGATGATTTAAGTAGCTTTCTTTTATTTCCTGAATTTTCATTAGTATCCAGCCAACTCGGCGAATGTCGAGTCCATCTCGTCAGCCAATGACTTGTATCTGTCCTTGTTGATTCCAAGTTCGTCTGAAAATAATTTTATTATTAATAATGAATTATTAATTAACCAAAACATGAATAACAAAAAAATAAAAACAAAAATGAAACATTTTAATTGACATATTGTGCCAAACTGTTTTAAAAAATGTAGGATTTAAAAAATAAATATTTAAAAATGCCTTGAATATAAAAAATATCTTCGAATAAGTCACAGAAGTTATATTTTTAAATTCTTACAACATTTTAAAATATTTTTCTTTGGGACAAAATACAAGTTTATATAAAATTATTATTTTGAGTGAAATTAATTCTGGAATTAAGCTGCAAACAAGTTTACCTAAAATTTGTTAGTTATGAGTAATAATTATGAGTATATATCATTTTTTGATGATTATTTTCGGACTCTTGTAATTTTTCTTTTACTGAAAATTTATATAAATAAAAAAAAAAAAACAATACATAAATAAATAAATAAATAAATAAATAAAAACAAAATCAGGGAGAAGTAGATTTTTTCCACTATTGGAAAAAATACTAAATATACCTGGAGATTTTTTACGCCGAGCTTAAGCCTTTTATCGTCAATGTACTAATTTTTTTACACAAAATATCAATAATGTTTGATATTAATTTTCAAAATATTGAAAAATAAATATTTAAAATTTTCAAACTTTTAAATATCTAAATGTACGTCAATATATAACTGTGTTTTCAAATGTGATTAATTTAATAGGCAGTAAGCTCAGCGTATGTAGAATCCAAATCATCAACAATAGCTTTGTGCTTTTCCTTTTGGTGTATCAAGTCGTCTGTAATTAGAAATTTAATATTTTCCAATTTTTTATTCATTTTTTCTCGACATTTATCATTTTAAATTCTACCTCTTTTCAACTAACAATTACAGTAACAATAATAATAATAATAATAATAATATTAATTATTGAAATAAAATTATTTATCGACAATTTACCTTCGAGCCTGTCGACTTCTTTCTGCAATTTCTTGACAGTCTTCTCTGCGAATTCGGCACGAGCTTCAGCTTCTTTTAGTTTGACCGTCAAAGTTTTGAGTTGACGTTTGAATTCTTCAACTCTTTGATTAGCCTAATCAAAACATAAACAATTTTAAATAAAAAATAATTTTTAATGACTCATCAATTATTATAAAAATTTACCTTCTCTTCAGAGACTTCGAGTGATTTCAAACTGTTTCCGACGACTTTAAGTTCTTCTTCCAACTCCATAATTTTTCTGTTGAAAATAATAATTTATAATTATAATAATAATAATTGATAATAAATAATTATTACGTACGCTTCACCAGATTTAACACGGTCCTCAGCAGCCTCAAGTTCGTCTTCAACAAACGCGAGCTTACGGGAAACTTCATCAGATTTACCATCAGCATCTTCAGCTAGTAAACGCGCTTCTTTCAATTGATTTGTCAATTGATCCATTCTCTCTTCATCTTGCTGGGCACGGTTTTCCAATACTTTGCACATACTGAATTAATAATTTAATATATTTATCTGGATTTTTAATAAATTAAAAAATAAAAATGTTACCGGCTAGATTCATCAGCGGCTTGAGAAGCTTCCGTCAATTTAGTAGAAGCGGTGTTAAGACGTTCTTCAGACCGTTCCAAATCTTCTTCAATCAACTGTACTTTTCTATTTAAAGCTGCTACTTCAGCTTCGGCCTGAAATTAAATGACTTTATTAACTTTTTAAGTTAATTTATAAATAAAAAATTAATTTTTTAATATCAACAAAACGTACATTAGTGAGTGCTTTTTCTTTCTCTTCAAGATCTTTGTTTCCTCTGTCCAAATTTCCCTTGTTGGTTGTAAGATCAGACTGTACTTGAGCTAATTTTTTAGTCAGCTCATTAACCTCCTCCATAACTTTATCGGCACGGAGGTTTGCCTCCTTGGCCTGTCCTTCACAGGTATCAGCTTTGTCCTGTGCATTGTCTTTCTCAAGCTTCATCGCTTGCATCTTCTTCTTGATCGCGTCCATGATGCCGGCTTTTTTTCTTTACTTTTCTCGCTAAATTTGATAATTTGCTAAAAATTTTAAAACACATTCATAAGTTAATTTTTTTATCGTTACCATAAACTAATGACACTGAAATCATCATCATCATCATCATCATCATCATCATCAGGTACTCCATGATTCTTTCGATTTTATTCTAATAAATAGATTAGGTATACAGTTTTAAATAATTTGTTTGTTAAAACAATTCTAAAAATGATCAAATGTCTATATAGTAATTTCAGTATCATTAAAAATTTTTAAATTCTTACATACTTTTTGAACATGACTATTTTATTTATGAAAATAAAACAATTAATAATTAAACTCTGTAAATAAAGAGTAATTTTGAATTTAACTTTAATGTTGATCCGTGTAGTAGGGCTTTGAATAAAAATAGACATATCGTACTAAAATTCTATAAATAAGTGTCTCAATAGTGTAGAGAAAATGTTTTAGAGCTGAGCTGGAGATACCAAGTGTAGTCAAGTGTATAAATGTGTGTATGATGAATATATATGTATATGCATATAAAGTATATAAAAGAGGGAGATGAGAGTAACCCAGAAGTTCGAGCTTTACTTGGCCGCCAACGCCGGCCGACATTCGATCTAAGTGCTTATAGAAATTTATTTATAGATTTCCGAAAGTTTGCGAAAGATTTCACGAGCACACCCGTTTACCGTCATTGTCATTTAGTTTTTAATTAATTGTCATTTACAATCACAATTTACTATTTTTTTTTTAACTCCTTAGACATTTTTTTTTTTATTATTTAATTATAACTTTCAAAAACTTGAAAATTATGTTATCCAATAACGATATATATTCATTTATGCATCACTCTCATGTAATTTTGGGAATAATGCCAAGGATTTTTGGTCCGGGTTATTTCAGATATTACCAATTTTAAGCATGTTATTTTGAACCATTCATTCATATCATCAATGATAATTAATAATCAACATCACTTGAAAAAAAAAAAAGAAAAAAAAAATTTTAGTTTAGTTTAGCAAAACAAAAGCAGTTAGGGTTTGTTAAGTTTTACTTACTCCATTGTGAAGCAATAAGCCAAAAAATTGTGAGCGTAAGCGATACTCAGCGTCATTTTGTCAAAAAATAAGCGCAACCTGTGGTCAAAACTTGTATAATAAAAATAAAAATAAAGAAAAAAATAAAACATTAGAATAAATATAAAAACACTCGCGAATAACACTTAGTTCCAATAATATTAGCAGCAAGCTGTCAAATAGCAACACAATTTTCGATTTTCATTATTATTTTATTTTGAATTTATATTTATGTATTTATCGTTTAATTTTGGGAAGAAGGCACTTACCTACCCTCCCGAGTGAGCGACGCGCGACGAATGTCGTTTAAAAAGCTCAAAGTTACACCAAAGCTGCTTTCAAAAAGCTTGTACATTCTTGAGACGGTGGGGGTAGCCAAAAATGGCGAGCTGGAACTTAGGTTTTCTTCAGTGCCTCTTCCTCTTCTTATTCTTAATCTTTTGACTACACTATTATATATTTATATATATTATATATATATATATATATATATATATAATATATAATAGTGTAGTCAAAAGATAATAACGTCTAGTATTTTTTTTTTACTTTACGGAATTTCATTTACCGTGGCAAGGGTGGGGTAAATTTAGAAATAGACTTTCGTGAGCTAAATCTTTCAAATTTACGCCAATGTGCGCAAAAAATCTTAAACGCTTCTGCGCAGCTTTATTTTTTTTAAATAATACGGAAGCACAATGTGTTTTTTTTTTTTTTTTTTTTCTTTTTTATACTTGCGACCATTTTAGTGTAGAGTTTTTTTTCATACACAAAATTTAAAAATTATTTATCAAATCAATCCTAAAAATATTATATTGTCATCATCTGAAGGCTAATATGTCTATTTATAAAAATAAAAAAAGTGTCAATCGATAATTAGAACTTCTGAATATATAAAAATTATTAAAATGTTTTTTAATAATTATTATTATTATTTTAATTTTTCATAGAATTGAGCGTTGAAAAAATAAAAAAGAAAATAAGTCTAGAATAAACAAATTCGATGGCACATTTACATGATCTCATTTTAAGTCAAAAATAAACTCGGTATCTTTTTACATATTTCTTTTTATATTTTTATTTTTATTTCACTTAAATTGATGTCTTAACATTATTATTATTATTATTAATATTATAATCTTAAAAAATTGTTTATTTACGAATGTTTTTAATTTTAATTCGTTAGGACGACCGCGAACTTTATTCGCATCACTGAGGGTAGGCACTCGGCGACAATTACCAGCATACAATAATCAATAAATAGTTAATAATTAATAATTACTATAAAAAAAATAATTATAGCTAAATTATGAATATCTAAATCTAATTGCATTAAAAAATCAACAGGAAGCAATTTATATTTTAATGCAGACTTTGTCAGGCAAGACGTAAGAATTCTTTTTTTTTTTTTTTAGATTTCATTCATAACAACAAATATAAAAATAAATCGGGTAAAATAGGCCTTCGACCAATTAGAGGTAAAATGGTCTTCTCTTTGAAAAAAAAATTCTAAATAATATATGGGTCATTGAAAGAAATTTGAGACTTTAATTTAGTAATTTTATAAATTTATTAAAAAATCCGGGGTAAAACGGCCATGGCCCATTTTATACCCCATATAATTATTTTTAATTAAAAAAAAAGCATCTTGCCTTGACTTTCTCACAGTAATAATAATAACAATTATTATTATTATCATAATTAAAATTACATCGGTATTTAATTCCTTGAAAATTGATCTATGTTAGCGAATACGCAAAGAAGCAATTGACATTTTTATAAACTAATAATAATAATAGTAATAATAATAATAATAATAATAATAATAATAATAATAATTTTGTACTTTATTATTAATTAATATAACGCACAAGCAAATTTGATTAATATAACAATTATAAATTATAATAATATTTAATAAAAGTGCCGTTGATTTAAAAATTATTTGTTGTTATTATTATTATTATTACTATTACTATTAAAAATATAGTATTGAAAAATAAAAAATAATATAACAATAATGACGAATGGTTAATTTATAAATGTTCAGTCGAGTCATTGGAATGTATAAATATAAATCGTACAATAAATTTACGATAAAAAATGTTAAGGGCAAACTCTTGTCGTATTCAGTTATTATTGGTAGTGAGCTTTGTTAATATAACTAACGACTGTACTGAGTCATTCGAGGGAATGGATCAAGAGAAGAATAATAAGTAATGATAGCTGTGTAATCTTCCACGATAACTTCATGGCAGTATCAATATTTACTGATGAGCGTCATCATTGGCAACAGCATTTATTTATTTTTTATTTCATATATTGAATTTTCATTTTCCTTTTTTTTACGCTCATCACTCAGATCCTCGGTTAATATCCCGCGAGGTCGGCGAATGTTTGATCCATCTCTTCAGCGATAGCTTTGTACTTACTACGTTCATTAGTCAGCTCGTCTGTAACATTTTAAGAGGATAGGAAAAATTTTTATTAGTAAGGCACTAAATTGTTAGTCTTTTTTTTTTTTTTTCTAAACTAGAATTTTTAAATATATGTACTTAAAATTTTTTTTCATTAAAAAGATTTTCTCATTGAAAAATGGGACTGATGGTAATTCTATTTTAAATAATTATTTTTGGTAAAGTAATTTGTAAATTATTGATAAAATTAATAATTAAAAATAAGTAATATGTTTTAAATAAAAAATTTATTATAAAAAAAGGAAAAATATATGTTCCTGATAATAAAATTCTCTTTCGAATATTTTATGAAAACATAAATTCAATTAACTCGTAAATGACCAAAGATATTTTTTAAACAATAAATTAGATAAGAAAATTTATTTAATTTAAAATAAAAAAGAAAATATGATTTAAATTTAAAAGAATAAATATTATGATTTTTAACACGAATTTAAAGATAAAAATTAAAATAAAAATAATAAAAGAAAACATTTTTAAATAAATAAAACGAGAATTATCTTAAACAAATTGTGTGAGAAAATATTTTTATTAACAAAAAAAAAAAAAAAAATATAGGAAGGTATATAAAAATAAACAAACAGTAATTTTTGTATAATATATTAATTTTAATTAATTATAATAATACAATGAATAGTTTTATTAAATAATCACCATGATTATTGATAAATAGCAATAGTAAATAATAACAATAGTGTAAACAAGTGTTTATTTTTATTAATTATTATTTAGTAAAACACTTGTGTAATGATTGCTGTATTGTTTTATTCTCTTAGTATGTTGTATGGATATGAGGATGTTGTGCGTTAAATGTTGGATACTAAAACGTCTAGCCAACCAATTCGGTGAAGGTGAGATCCAAATCGTCGCAGATATATTTGTACTTCTCCTTCTCGTGAACCAGTTCGTCTGTAATTTATTTATTTAGTTATTTATTTTTTTTTTTTTATTTAATTTGATAAAAGTTATTTTGAATCTTGTGATTAATTTTCTTAAAACTTAAATGGGAGATTTAATAGAAGCAACCGATAACTTACGAGCGTTATAATTAAAGCAAAGTCTAAAAAAAGCGAAAGTTAATTAGGCTTTAGCATTATTTAAATTCCATAAAGCTCTTCAAAGGTATTGTCCAATCCATCGCCGATCGCCTTGTATCTTTCTTTCTCTTCCAACATTTCATCTGAAATATTCAAGTTGTTTTTTTTTTTTATTCATTAAAGTTGTTAGTAAAAGCTTTATTACTAAATGTTATTATTAAAAATAAGGATTAAATAAAATAATACGTCAATGTGTCAAAAATTAATATCTAAAAACTCTGCAAGAGTATCCAAAAGGTTTTTTTTTTTTTTTTTATAAACAATTTTTATAATTAAAAAATAAAAAAAAGTCCTGAGTTATTTAAAATAAAACCAGGAATTGGCCATAAAGAGTTTTTTCTGATTTTAATATCAAATTTTTAGTGAATTTCAATAATTATTTTTTCTCCAAAAAAATATTAACTTAATTATAATTATTAAAATACACACAACAAAAAGTCAATAAAAAATAAATTTAAATTGAACCAAGTGCCAATATACAAGGAAGTATACACTTGACAACATAACAAGTATATGACATATATCATCACTAATATCAATAACAACAGCACAACCAGCATGAGCGAGTAAATTTAAAGTTAAGTATCCCAGTGACATTAATAACATACTCGTTGCTCTATAAACCTCATAATATTAATAATATCGTAATGTAATATACAATATACAACAACTAAAGGAGAAGTCATGCTGATGTAGTTGTTTTTTTTTTTTTTTTTTTTCCACATGTTATGATATTATGTATATAAGTAGCATATCCCATATTCGAAATAACTTAAATAAAAACTTGACAGTCGCAATATAATCGTTACGTCTTGGTCTGTGTTTAAAAAAAACAATATTTATTATTATTATTATTATTATTATTATTATTATTATTATAATAAGTAAATTGAAAAAGCATTAAAAAAATCTTTACTCACCGTTTAATACTCACAAAAAATTCTTCATGCAGGAGAGGGTTAAATTATTGCTCACATGGGGGTTAGTTTAAAAAGTGATTAATAAGAAAATAAGAAAAAAAAAACAAAAACAAAAATTTCAAAATGAAAATATATATATATATATATATTATAAACAAATTTATAATAGCAAATATTACAATAATATTAGTGGTATTATCATTATCATCATCATCATCATCATCATCATCATCTTTATTTATTATTTATCATTAAGTAAATAAACTAATTAATATTTAATATTGAAATTTAAATAGCCATCTACAGGTTTAGTATTATTATAATTATAATTGTCTTTATCTTTATTATTTTTATTTATAAACATAAATAAAAAAATATGGAAGCGAATTACTTTAATCAAAAAGTAAATAGTTTGATAATAATTAATAATAATGATTTAACAGTCATTCATTTATTGTGCTGTGCTTACTTGCTTAGATAAAATAACGGCTTAGTGCCTTTATATTCAATACAATAATAATTTTTTTTCCTAAATAATTTTATTTATATTTTTCAAAAGTAAGAGCTCGATAATTGTCAAATAGTAAATTTTTATTGTAATATTTAATTACACGATCAAATGATATGTCTAAATTAAAAATAGAAACCAATAATTAAAGTAAGAAAATTCAAAAATAATAATTAACGAAAAAAAAAAAAATATATAAAAAACGATTAACGGAATGTCGAAATTAAATTAAATAAAAATTTAATGAGGAATGCATTTGTTTAGATAATTATTCAATTAAACACAACTTATATATATGTAAACTCGCGATTAATTATTATTATCATTATAATAATTTTAATAATAATGAAAAATTGCCCCGTTTGTTTGTTTGTTTGTTTGTTTGTTGCCACTTTTAACAATTCATTCTTGAAATAGTTCTTTAATAAATCATTCATACGATTCATACATGCTCACACAATGGACGGTGGAGGCTACTTATAGATAATTCATCAATTATTATTATTATTATTATTGTTAATTATAACTCTGAGAGATTTTTTCGTCGAATTAATTGATAGGAACCGCCTTGTGCCTTATATTATCTCAGGCTCTGCACCATTCGCCGCGAAAATTAATTTTTATATTTATAATTATTTTCATTATTATTAATTAATAATAATATTTACTCTTATTTATTATTCCACCGTGGAGATTGTTAATTAAAAAATGTCTTTATCTTTTAAATTAATAAATAAAACAGCAGGTCTACATGTTCTGGATGTCATGCAGGGTAGCTTCCATTTCCTCCTGGAGTAATTTGTTTTTCTCTCTCTCGGCGACGAGGTCGTCTGTAAATATTACTTTTTAAGCACACACTCACCGCACTCGTTTTTTTTTTTTTTTTTTTTTTTTTTTTTTTTTTTTTTTTTTTTTCGTAATATTATTAATTCAAAAATTAGTTAGTAATTTAAATCAACAACTAATTTTTATTAATGGGAATCAACACTGGTTAGTGCAAAAAAAACTTTGGTGGGAAATATCAATATTATAAATATAAATATATTTTAAAAATTGTTTGAAATATTAAATTGAATTAATAAAAATTACGTACCCTCGAGCCTGTCGACCTCCTTCTGTAACTTTTGAACCGATCTCTCGGCGAACTCAGCACGCGCTTCAGCCTGTAAAATATAATTTATATTTAGTAATCATCATCGATAAAGCGTTAGTCATTAGTCATTATTATATTAATAATTAAAGAAACATCCAAACACAAGTAAGACTTTTTATCTATTTTTAAATTCTTCGGGTGAATTTTTTCATTTGATTGATACAAATGTTGTTTGCTCAATATATTTAATATTTATAATTGAAAACGTGTTACTCATAATCTCGACTCTGTTGAACTTTATAGAACGATAAAAATTAATAATTAATCATTGATAAGAGCAAAATTTTGAAATAGATAAGATAACTTACAGGTGATTAATATTAACTCAAATGTTAACAAAGAAAACATGCAGTTGCTTTTATTATAAAGCTTTTTAACACTTTAAGCGGATTGTTAACAGTTATTTTCTTTTACTTGAACTAATTTTTTTTATTTTACCCTTTTTGTTTGAAAGATTATACTTTTTTTGTTTAATTTTTTCAATTATATTTGATAAAATTCAAAATTCAATAATTTTTTTAAAACAAAATGTTACCTCTTTAAGCTGACTGTCAAGAATCTTCACTTGTCCCTCAAAGTTTTCCTCTCTTTGTGTCGCCTAGCATTAGTGAAACACACCAGACAAACAAACAAAATAAAACAACAATAGTTAGTAAAATAAAAAGCACTATATTTCTATATTAATATTAAACTTTTAAAAAAAAAAAAAAAACTAATATGTATTATAATGTTTAATCAGATGTTCTATCACAAATGGAGCAGACGTCTAGCACGGTTTTCTATTATCTTCTAGATTGAATTCAATTCTAACGTGGGTTAATAAGTCAGATGGAAAAAAAATAAAACTTTTGTTAAGAGTTAAGGCAGTTGCAATTAATATTATTATAAATTTAAACAATATCGTTAGGCGATCAAACATCGTGCAAAGTAGGCACTTGTTTGTACCTCCTTTAGACGAGTGGTCAGGGTCTTTATTTGGTTCTTGTATTCCTCCTCACGTTGGTTTGCCTACATCGTACAAATTTTAGTTTATAAATTTTGTTTTTTGATTTTAAACTTTAATTAACCGGAATTTCGGTAACTCGGAATAAATTTATTTAAAATTTTTAATCAATAAAGAAATAATATTTTATTCAATTTTTTTAATTGAAAGGAATTTTATTGACGTTGAGAATTTATTTTTTTTTTTTACCTTCTCTTCTGACACCTCCAAAGACTTGAGGTTGTTACCGACAACACGTAGCTCTTCTTCCAATTCAACGATTTTTCTGAAAGAAAAAAATTTATCAATATTTTTGTTTTTATAAAAAAAATGAAAAATTTTTGGATCATGTTTCGATACAAAAATTTAGACACGTAAAAATTAAATGATATAAAAAAATCGTGCAAAGCAATTAAATGACTTACGATTCGGAAAGTTCATTTTTTTCCTCGGCGCGCTCAAGATCTTGTTCCATCATGACTAGTTTCCTTGCAACCTATGGTCATCAGCCAACACATCATGCAAAGCATTTACAATAAATAAAATGAAATAAAAACATTTTTAAAAGATAAATAAAATAAAATCGTGCAAAAATCGGCTGTTTCCTGGATCCATTGATAGTCCTGCTGAAATAATTAGTAAAATAAAATAAAAAAAAAATTACAGGGTCGCAATCCGTCAACAATTAGGAGAATATTTAATTTTAATAAAATAGAATAAGCAACAACGGCAATTAGACAATCAGTAATTAAACACAATCGATCAATGGAAAACGGTTCTTACGATTCTCCAGCTTCGGCACGTTCCTCAGCACGCTCGAGATCTGCTTCAACCATAGCCAATTTACGGGCGACCTAGTTTAATAAATAATTTGCTTATTTAGTTTTTCTTTTATTCTTTTAATGTTTAGCTTTTATTGAGTTTATTCATTTGTATTTTTAGTTCAGTTATTGTTATTGTCATTAACTGACAAATTAAAGCCAACTTTGTATTCATTAAAAAAAATTTTTCCATTAGAAATTACAAAAACCTAAATTAAATTAAAAATATACAATACAGATAGTAAAAAATATCTGACAATTTTTTTTAGATAGTTATATATTTTTAAATATTGAATTTTTTCACAAAAAAAATGATCAGACTTATAAATTGGCTTTAATTTATCTAAAAAAAATTTATACCACTCAGATGCAATTAATTTAAAAAATCCAGGAGACTAAATTATTATTATCGAAAACAATTCAATGATTAAAAGCTCACACGTTAGTCCTATTAAAAAAAAAATTAGTATTAAAAATCGAATTGTTCTTTGATGATACCTGTTACCATTAAATTATAAATATTCTCTTATCTATCTAGTTATTAAATAATTTTAGATTAATATAAATATTTGTGGCCTATTATTGATAGTAAAATAAGAAACAAAAAAGCCCGACTTGCCTCTGTTTCGTAGCCCACTCGTGAAGACGTCAATCGAGCAAATAAAGTATTATAAAAAAATCTCATTTCAAAAATATATATGTATATATTCGTAAATATAATTAGCCCGGTTGGCATTGAAAATAAAAAAGCAATCATAGCACAGCAGTAAATAAAATCGAAAATTTTGTTTGGCAACAGGGAATTGAGAAAATTTCACAAACACTTAATTTTTTAGGCCACAAATCTATCAATCATAATTTATAATTTTCCATGTTAGCACGATCACGCAGTATTTAAAATATATATATATTTTTTTTATATTAAATTCTATATATATATATATATATATATATATATATATATATATATATATAATAGCGACAATAATTATTATAAATCTATTAAAAGTTCTGGCGACAATCAATGTCGTCATTTAACCATAAATATTCCCATGAATATTAATTAAAAATAAAACTAATAATAATTTTAATAAAAAGAAATATTTTCACTCCACAAGCACCATTTTTTTTTTTTTTTTTTTTTTTTTTTTTTTTTTTTTGTTTGAAATATTAACCGTAATACCCGCACAAAATATTGACACGCAATCACTTTCTCAGTAAAATTAGCACCAGAACAAATTTATTATTTTTGATTTTCATATCGGACTTTAATTATTTAAAAAAAAAAAAAAATTAAACTAAATAATAATAATAATAATTCACAGCCTTGACAAAAACTGACAACTGGAAAAAACAATTAAAAAAAAATATTTGCTGTCGATTGTTTGAACAATTAGCTTCGAAGAAGTTTTACGAGAGAAATCTGAGCGAGGAACACACAATACAAGTAGCGAGTTATTAGGGTTATATTATAGGCACTTTGCTATCGACTAGGAACCATCATCATTATTTGGATTTTTGGTGTTATTATTATTATTGTTGTTGTTGTTGTTGTTATCATGATTATTATAATCATTGTTATTATCACTGCAGTCACGTGAGCTTGTAGGTTCTCGAACCTCATCGTATTTCTTGTCGGCCTCTTCAGCTAAGAATCTAGCCTCCTTCAGCTGGTTCTCAAGAGCATCCATACGCTCTTCGTCTGCCAAGCTTCTGTTCTCGAGTATTTTCCGGGCGCTATTTTATTATTAATTTAAACAAAATACAAATTTAAGTATCATAATATAATAATTTAATTTATATTATTATCTATTAAATATTTGTTGCGGCGTCTCTGCTCTGCTGCTGATGAACCTGTTTAATTTTTCAACTGATCAATTTAAACAAAACTAAAAATTGATTGATTGAAAAATTAAAAAAAAAAAAACATAAAATGTGATCAATTATCGCAAAACCCACCTCCTCGTACTTCTTATCCGCCTCTTCGGCGATTAACTTGGCCTGTGCAAGCTGTTGTTCCAGAGCAGAAACTCGGTCATCCTCCATGTTTGTACGATTTTCGAGAGCCTTGCGTATCCTAATCATTTTTTTTATTAACTTACTCTTAATTATTTACGGTTAATAATACCAAACGTTGGAAGGTAAATTACAATTAATAATTATTGTGTATTGTGCTTTAAAAATTCATTACTGACTATTTATAGAAGAAAATACTTTTACTAATGATAGTAATGATGATGCATCGGTATTTTAATTGATCAATTTAATAAGGAATTTCAGAAATTATTTACACAAAACACGTTTGCTTAAACCCATTCGACCGGATGCTATCACAATTAATTAATTATTTATTTTATTTTATTAATTATTTATAGTTTTTTATTTTATTTAAATGCTTTTGCTTAATAGTTCAATGTTCCTTTCAACGCTTGTCATTATATTAATGAGAATTTCAAGACTATTTTCTTTTAAATAATTATTTTTTAAATAAGTTTAGATATAATAATAATAATAATTATTATTATTATCATTTATTCTTGGGTGAAAAAAATTAAAGTTTAGTTATTAATAATTTTTATATTTAATAGATAAATTTTTATAAAAATATTGATCATAATTAAAATTTTCTCATCTTCTCTTTTGTTCTACTTTTTCTTGATTATTAATTTTACATTCATAATTAAGCTTTAATTAATAATAATAATAATAATAATAATAATTATTATTATTATTATCTTTATGTATTAATTATTCAAAAGAAAAAAGAAATAGTTTTGAAATAGATAATTAATTAAAACTAAAATTAAACTTCCTTCGTTCAATGACCAATATTCATGATAAAGTGAATAAGGAAAAAAAAAATATTAAAAATTAAAAGTCTCAACTAGCATAATAACAGAAAAGATATCACGATGATTTAGATAACCTTGTTGGTTTACGATAGTGTCATCCACATCCCGGTGAATCACCGGTACGTTTTCTTTTATATATATATATATATATATATATATATATATATATATATAATAATTATAATAGTAATAATCCGTACAAGCACTCTTTACTGGCTCATTTAATATTTACAATATCCATACGACATACATACTTGAAACGTGACAAAATACGAAAAAATAAAAATAAAATATATACTAGGTGGAATGAGTGTAGTGAAAGGCATGCAGAAAAATGATAGCTTGGTCACAGAATGAAGGGTATCTTCTATTAAACCTTACGCATCATCAACGAGGCGTATTACAAAAACTGTAAATCACGTATTTTTAGATTTTAGATTCATCAATAAAAGTTCAATATATCTAATAAACAAGAGCTTTAACGATCTCGACTCTATTAACCGTTTGATTGATAATCATAATCAATAACGTGTACTCAGCTCGTTGCTCATTGATTCGGTAAAGGTCACGGTCTATCATACGGAAAATTAATTCGCTTGAATAAGCTATAAAAATATAACAACTCCTCGTTATTTTAAACTCTTGTTTGATAAAAATATTAAACCTCCTTTACTTGTGTAATTCATAATTTTTTAATTAATTATTAATTATTTCTCACCGTTCGCTCTCATCGGCAGCTTGAGAAGCTTCTGCAAGCTTAGCAGTTGCGGTTGCTAAACGCTCCTCAGATCTCTCAAGATCTTCCTCGAGCAGCTGGATACGACGGTTGAGGGCTGCTACTTCTGATTCAGCCTAAAAAAAAAAATATAAATATATTTATTAATTTATTAATTAATATTAAAAGAGTTTGAATTTTACTCGCAAAAAATTATAAAATTTTTGTTTAAATTATTTTTCTTATATTTAAATATTTTATTTTATTTAAAACATAAAAAATAATCTTATTAATTATTCCCCTTCTCTTTATCGCCTTTTCTTAATAGAATAAAAGTTTAGCGAATCGTAACAACCACACCCTATTTTATTGTTAACTAAAACATCAGTACAAGTGGTTTAATCACGTAATTTCTCTTTTATAGCAAACGAATCAGTCCGGACATCCGTAATGTATTTTACTCGTGACAACTATTATACGCTCGTTAGTTTATCGTGTGTTTTTGTATGGTTTTAAGTACATTTCAATTTTAATTATAATTATAATTATTATAAAAAAAAAAAAAAAAAAAAAAAAAAAAAAAAAAAAAAAAA